ACACACCGCCAGGCCGGTCTGCAGGGGCCCGGGTGCGCGGGACACACCGCCAGGCCGGTCTGCAGGGGCCCGGGTGCGCGGGACACACCGCCAGGCCGGTCTGCAGGGGCCCGGGTGCGCGGGGTCAGGGGTCCCACGGTGGAAATCCAGAGGCCTGACCCCTGCCGGCTTTGATTTTTATCCCTCCTCAGCCAATTAAAAAGGGGACAACTTGTGTCTGTCAAGCGAGGTACAAAGGAGTACCCGCCAAGCAAGCACAAAGCCCCGAGTTCAAACCCCAGTACCACCGAACAAAAAGAAATACTAAAGGAAGGAAACATTTCAATTAGAATATGATACTGATAGAGCAACAATTGTTAAGTTTTTCTTACGATATTTTTACTATTAGTGCATATTACTTATACAAAACAATATTCTGGCCATGTCTATTAAAATGTTGATGAGTGCAGGAAATAGACCCTAGTGTAAGGGTATGGTGTGGGGTCACAGATCACCGTAACAGGAGATTTGTTTTATTTCAGGTCTCCCATGTAGCCACGGCTGGCCTCGAACTTGCAATCCTCCTGCCTCCCGAGTACTGGGTTAATCAGAAAAAAAACTCGCAAAACTTCATAAAGCACAGCAAAATTAATTCCAGATATATCAGAAATTTACATTAAAATACTAGAAAATCCGGAGCCAGTCAGCACATGGCATTATCACAGGGGAAGATTTACCTGAAGGTTGGAGAAGCCTGGATTGCCGGCGCTGGAACAAACGCACCATCTTGGACAGAGAGGCTGCCCGCACGCACAGAGACCGCAGGGCAGGTGCGCGGCGGGGAGGACAGCAGGACGAGACCCAGGGGGACGGAAGGCTGTAGCTTCCCCCAGCCCCGGTCAAGAGCTGAAGCAAATTCAACAAAACGGCCAACTCCATAAAGCCAGGGAGCGAGCACACCCTGGGGCCGCTTCGCTGCTTCGTGAGCGTCCACGGCGGTGGGTGCTGGTTTCAAAGACATGGCAGAGGAAGATGCGACACTGGCTCACGCCCCAGGACACCTCGAATGAACGTAAGAAAGGAGAGCCGAGCCCACATCGGAGGGAGGGGCCGTGATCCGTTTCACCTTCTCCTACTTTTTGCTTTGTTTCTCTGCACTTCAGAGCATCATTTACCAAAAAAAAATACCCAATTAAAAACAAGCAAGCAGACAAGAACCCACATTTCCTAGCACACCGCAAGGCTCAAGGCGGACAGAGCTTGTGAACCGCGAGGGTCGTGGAGGGCGCGGCGACACACCGACGCTGCGCTAGCGTGGCCCGGGGTTCCGGGAGCCTTGAGGCAGGGCGCCTCAGCCAGCCCTTCCCCGGAAAAGGAAAAAGCTAGTAACAAGTAAATTAAGAAAGGGCCTGAGAAGCTGAACTGAAAAACTAACTGGCCGCAGAGGAGTTTCCCAATCACTTTCCCTCGAGTCCCCCAGTCAGTGGGCCCTGGCCTGGGGCCAAGCCTCCTCTCCCCGCACAGCCTCCGACCAGAGGTGACACTGCGCAGAGTTTCAGTGACCGGTCCAGCGGAGGGGCAGGGTAAGTACCTGGCACCGCATCGGACCTGTCAGCAGCAGCGGGGGCTGGTGGAGCCATACTGTTTACAGTGCTAATTAGACCACTGCTCTGTTCTATTTTCCACCCTAAATGTCACTGGCCACAACCAGGCCCCTCCTGTCCACTGTGTGGTATAAAATACCATTTTTAATTCAAAAACTAAAAACAAAACCCCACAGTAAGTAGTTGAACACATTCATCTGGACTTGGAGGTGGGGTTGAGTCCAGATTATTTAGGTCAACATTTAAAATACACACAGCTGAGACTGATTTTTCTTTTTTTGTTGCTCAATACCTGGATAGATCCACTGTGAGAAGCTGGGAAACATCACCGGGTGTTTTCAGCCTGGAGCTGAGCGCTCTCTGAGATACTGTTCTAATTGGCTTTTGTTCCCACGATTCCGTCTGTTCTGTGTACATTAGAACAGGGTTGCTGTCTCTGACTCCACCTCTCCTAACGAAGAAGTAAATTTTGATTCCAAGATTGTTAGAACAGGCGTGTGACCAGGCACACACGTGTGGCTTCTGATCGGACCAGGAAGGCATCTTCCCCTCCGGAAACAGAAGGAGTTCTCGAGTTCCTCTCCTCTCGATGGCCAGGCTTCGGCCGGGAGCTCGTGGCCCCCATCTGTGATGCTTGGGAGGCAGAATTCAGAACAATCCAACGTTCTAGGCCAGCGCAAGCAAACACGTGAGTGGGATCCGTCTCAAGGACAAAGCCAGGCACAGCGGCACGGCCTGACAGCTCCACGGAGCCGGAGGACTGCTGTCCAGACGGCCCTGGGAGAGCCAGCAAGCCCGCGCCCAGAAGAGCACTAACGCAAGAAAGGGCTGGGGCCACGCAGGGGTGTGACCCCTGCCAGGCAGAGCTGGAGGGTGGGCTCTGCCTGGCCCTTCATTCTAGGCCTTCTCCTGATCCAAGAGGGAGCGACCGCAGGGCTGTCTCCTGCCCGGTCTCCTCTCTTCCCTCTGGTCCTAGCCCAGCCACAGGGACACACAGCAGCCAGAGGGGGCGCGAAGGGGCGCTAGATCGCTGAGGGGAAAGCACCTCCGTCCTTGGGCTCACGGCTTCGTGTGTTCACCCAAGTCCCTGATAACCGTGCCGGACAGACCCTCACCGCGGGACCCCGCCGCGGGACCCCGCCGCGGGACCCCACCGCGGGACCCCGCCGCAGTGTCTGCTCTGGACAGCAGGAAGCAGACGCGGGACCTGAGAGCAAATTGAATGTTACAATAATAATATTAATAATACCAGCTACCACAACCATTACCAACTGAAGGAAGAAATCAGCCATTAGGTGGTACAGGGTCAAAAAGGGGTCTGCATGCCTGGTGGTGAGCTGGGAGGTACTGTGTGCTTGGTGGTGGTTAGCTGGGAGGTACTGTGTGCTTGGTGGTGGTACTGTGTACTTGGTGGTGGTGAGCTGGGAGGTGCTGTGTGCTTGGTGGTGGTACTGTGTACTTGGTGGTGGTGAGCTGGGAGGTGCTGTGTGCTTGGTGGTGGTACTGTGT